TGGAACTTCTTAAAATGAAATCTTAAATTCCGAAAAATAGTTGGTTTACTCATACCTGACAAGAAGAGTTTTCTATTCACCACTGGAGTTTTCAAGTCCTTTTATGTTCCATTTAAATTATTTATTTCATCCCATACCCAAGCAACTTCACTATTGACCTCCATTGGTGAGTACATTTAACTGACCAATTCCATTTGATATACAAGATTTTTAAAAGTTCTATAAAAGTATATGGTATTGCAAACAATGTTCCCTCTAATCTTTTCAATGTATGTGCGGATTCTTTCCATCCATGTGCAGAATAAATGTTATGCACACAGAGGTATGTATGAATATGCACTACCTGCAAAAACAAAAAATCCTAACTGTGGACTCCTCACAACTAATCAGCTGGGTGGCATTTGAAACTCTCCTGAGCAGCCGCACAAGCGCACAGCTTACAGGAAACACTGACTGTAAAATGAGAAAACTTGACTTATACCAAATAATACAATGAAAGTGACAGAAGAGTAACCTATTTACTAGCAACAAATAAATGTTGCTCTCAAGGGAAAAATTGCACTTTACCTGTAATTTTTTGGCAGTGAGTCTTCTAGAAATTATTCCCTTGTCATCATTTTGCTTTTTGTGCTCATTGATTACTCCAATAATCCTTTTTTCCAAGTCACTGTTAATCACTACCTGTGGAGAGAGATACTAGTCATTATAAACTAAATAAAATCTTAGAGATATAAACTAAGGTACACTACAAGAATACTACAACAATATCAGAAGCAAAATACAGGACTATGTAGCACTTTAAAGACTAACAAGATGGTTTACTAGATGATGAGCTTTCGTGGGCCAGACCCACTTCCTCAGATCAAATAGTGGAAGAAAAGTGACTATTTTCTTCCACTATTTGATCTGAGGAAGTGGGTCTGGCCCACGAAAGCTCATCATCTAATAAACCATCTTGTTAGTCTTTAAAGTGCTACATAGTCCTTTATTTTGCTTCAGCTACACCAGACAAACACGGCTACATTTCTATCACTACAATATCAGAAACAAATAGGAAAAAAAGAGGTAAGGAAAGTAGAAGACTCCTCACCTATAAGCCTCCTTGTTTTTCCAATTTTTTCCTATTCTATGAAACCTCTTATACTGTACATATTGTTGTGCAAGATAGAGAACAGCATAACTTTTCAAAAGAGAGAATATTCACTTTTTTCACTAAATGTAGAGAAAGTTTTTTTCATTAAAGAGAGGTTATTTTGCTTTTTGGGAAATGTGATTTGTTCATGAGAATAGGAGACAAATGTATCCTTCTGACCAAGGGAAAACAAAACAAACCCCAAGAGACAAAAAACCCCAAACCTGTCAGTTATCCCAACATACAATAGGTCTTAAAGATGTACAAAACAATACTATACTCTTGCTCCAAAAAATAGCAGAGGCAGTTTCAAACAATAAGAACGTGGCCCTCCTGAAGAAATAATGCCCTTTATCTATCATCTTCTTGAAACTCCTTATGTAAAAAAGGATTAGATCCTACATAAGTAACAAAACCCTGCCACAGTCATAAAGTTTGTCAAAAAGTCTAAAATCTTATTAAAAACCCACCACGAAAAGAAACTGGTTTTGCCCAGCACTTTGGCATAAAATATATTTTATAATACACCAAAGTTAAGTTTAGAGATAAAATATTTTCAGGTTCACAGAATTTTATTTTTGAACAAATAGTTTCCTCGTGATGAAAATACTAATGCCTTGACTGTTTTCTTGAAATTGCTCCACCCTTCCCATAAAACTCAACAGAACAGAAGTCTGCAAATTTCTAGAGTTCAGTACTCTTTTGTGTGCTATAGACTAAATAACAAAAAATAAATTTACAAGAAAGTATTAGGAAGAATGAAGCTGCTCTTTTCTTGAAAGAAATACTCACTTTAAGGATAGATTTATCCAGATTTGCAGGAGCATTAGAATCAGGCGTAGAACCAAAACTGTAGGTTTTTGGACCTGCAAATTCAGTAAAAACATAATTTAAATTACATTCCTATTTGCTTAGCATATTCATGTAATGTAAAGCAGAACACAAGTCCTACCAATAGAGAAATAGAAGGGTTTTGCCCCCCAATAAATAGATGGACATTTCCAACCCTTAAGTAATTATTTTAGTTACTTGTTAGTTGGTTGTGAATACACTTCTCAGTAGACAACTTACTGCAATTGAAATTGTCAAACATCTTGTAAGCAGATGGTTTTACTGCAATTCTATATTGTTTGGTAGACACATATTGCCTCTGGCAAAGATTTCTAGTGTTATAATTTTCTGGATTACACTTTCTGTTTGCTTCCCTATTCCACAGTTGATTTAACAGATAGATAGGGCCCTATCAAGTTCACAGCCATGAAAATTTCATCAAGGATCATGAAATCTGGTCTCTCCAGTAATCTGGTCTGCTGTGTGTTTTTACCCATTACTATCCCCCTGTCTTAGGGGAGACCAGTATTTCTTAAAGTGGGTGTTCTGACCCAAAAGGGAATTGCAGGGGAGGGGGGTCACAAGGGAGCTCTAATTCTGCCACCCTTTCTTCTGTTCTGCCTTCAGAGCTGCCCACGTGGGCAACAGCAGCTGTTCAACCAGACATCCAGCTCTGAAGGCAGCACCCTGCCACCAACAATGCAGAAGAGGGGCAATACACATAGAATCCACTTTACTTTTGCATTGCTGCCTTCAGAGCTCGGAGGATGGAGAGTGGTGGCTACTGATGGAGGGCCCAGCTCAGTAGCTCTACTTCAGAGTGGGGTTCCAGCCAACATTGACCCTCTCTAGCTGCCTACCTCTGAAAGCAGTGCTGCCACCACTAGCAGCACAGAAGTAAGAGTAGCAGTACCACCCCCCCAGCCCCAATAACTCTGTGACCTCCCCACAACTCCTTTTTAGATCAGGAGCCCAACAATAACACCACAGTGAAAATACAGATTTAAATACATGAAATAATGAAATTTACAATTTTTAAAATCTTATGACTGTGATATTGACTAAAATGAACCATGAATTTGGTAGAGTGCTACATATATATTATGTAGAGCGATCTTCTCCCTGTATGTATTTCGTTCAAAATGCAAAAGCCATCAGCATGTCTGCATAACAGCACAAGCTACTAGGCTGCAAAATTCTGATCAGTTAACCAGTTAAATGTTAATCTATTGTCCAACTGGTAAATCGATTAAAGGGGATCTGGGCAGCCCCCAGGACACCCCCTTCGCACCCCCTCAGCTGGCTGCTGGCCCACAAACCCACAGCAGGTAGGAAGCTGCTCCAGCCCCCACAGGTTACCTACCAGTCAATTGGAACCAGTAACCATTTAGGGAGATGCTTACTAGTTAACTATTCACATCCCTACAAGCTGTCAGGATTCCCATTCTAATGTTCTGCTCTCTGAACTTGGCTCCCCATTGAATTGAGTCTATGTTTAAGGTAACTGTGGCCATCTGTGATTAGCCATAGCTCCACTGGAGTTTGCTTCTGTGATGTTCTATATTTTCTAATAAAAAGACTCATGTATATAGATTACTAAACTTTGACAAGTAGTGGAACTTGACTGGAACTCACTTTCTGAAGGGATAAGAACCACTTCAGAGCTAGCCATATTCAGAACTAAATGCCAAATGTATTTAATTTTCCTATCACATATTTCATATGTATAGAGATACTCTTTCACAAAAAAGCTCTTTAAAAGCTAGAAACCCCCCCACAAGATATTACTTATATTTTTAACCAGAAGGTGCTTAGATAGTACAGCAATATAAACCTATAACTATCCAGCTAAATAAATCTGCACATTTCACTAAAATAAATGTTTACTGCTCTTTTACTCCTATGAATCCTGGAAGGCCAACACAGTTTGTGGCAAGTAAACTGGATACTAGTCTTTCTTACATTTCATCAGAAAATTTTACTTCAGCACCAAATTCTGCCCACAGTGACACTTGTGTAATGCCACATGGGATGGGTGTGCAGTGGTCTCACTTCGATGCTGCTGCTACAGAACACCGACTGCTAGCGATCACAGCGCAGACAATTCATATGGTACCGGAGACTGTTGTTCTTCCCTAATCCTCAATTCCTTTGATTATACCTCAGTGTTTATAAGTCAATCTCAACTTTTGTTTAAGTCGTTGATTGAGCTCTCATAGCTGTGGATGGAAATCTCAACCACAAAGGCAAATCCCACCAACAACGTTTATTTTTTATTTAAAGCATCCTGATTTTTCAGCCCATGTATCCAGCCCATGATTTCGGCGTTGACCCTGCTGCAATGGAGCATAAAAAGAGCAGACGCCCAGGCCAGTATCCGGGCCCAGGGAGCTCCCAGTAGCGACACTGACTAAGCCCGTCCTAATGCGTTTCCCGACTGCACCTCCGCGCCCTAGACCAGAGGGTGACCGCGCCGTGGGGGGCAGGGAGCGGCGCGCCAGGGGCAGAGGGACGGCGAGAGAGGAGGGTCTCCCCGTCATTGCTACCTTGCTTGACGCGTGGCTCCTTGGATACCGGGGCCGGCCTCGGGCCGGGTCTCTTGCCCGCAGCCTCTCCTGCGGCTCCAGACTCGGCGGCCGCTTTAGCCCTGGCAGCAGCGGTGGCCGCGGATACAGCGGCGTGAACGGCGCCGGCCCCCGCGCCGCCCCCCTTGTGCTTCTTGTTTTTGCCGCCCATAGCGGCCGCAGCAGGGTCGCCGCCTCAGCACAGGCAACGCAGCCGGCCGGCCCCACAGCGCCCGAGGGACTCGCCTACATCCGGGTACCACAGAGCCTCACGCAGCGCTAGGAGCAAGACTCCGATTGGCCGGCACTTGCTGGAAATCCCGGGCTCTATGTCCTCCGCCGCCTCTTCCGTCAATGGTCACGTTTGGAGACGGATGGCGCCGCGGTGCATGATGGGAGTGCTGCCGCCTGAGCGCGCGCTGTATTGTGGGAGAATAGCTCTCGGAGGCGGTGTTTCCTCCCCGCTCCTGCTAGCTCGGCTCGCGCCTGACGCTCTCGCCTTCCGGCGCAGTGGCAGCGTCAGGCGCGCGCCGCCTTGTGGGACAGGCTGGGGCAATGGCGGACGCCTTTGGAGACGAGCTGTTCAGCGTGTTCGAGGACGATTCCGCCGCCGCTGGGGCCAAGAAGGGCAAAGCGGCCGAGGCTGCCGGCAAGGCTGGGTGAGGGGCTGGGCGGCGCGGCCGTTGCTGAGGTAGCAGGAGGCGCGTGCCGGAGAGCGGGCCGTGGCTCTGCTCTCGGGGTAACCCTCCCCCTCCAACGTCGGCCCGCACGCGCTGGGGACGGGGTTGCGGTTCGTCGTCATGGCGGGGGCCGAGATGCGGCGATTGCACGTGGCCTGCCCGCCGTACTGAAGCCCTAGGCCATGTTTGTGTCCGACTGGGGGCTGAGGCGGCCTCTGCCCGCGGCGGGGTTAGCGGAGATTTACATCCGTGTTGGATTTTGGCCGCAGAACACACAGTGCGGTACACACACACATAGTCTCTTCCCAAGACCGCTTGTGATCTGCTCCGCGAGCAGCGTGTCAGCCGGGAGCCGTGCTCGTCGATATCTGCAGGAGGAGTCCTGTGGCACTTTTAAAGACCAACACATTTATTTGTGTATTCGCTTAAGAAAGACTCACAAAATGGGTCTTTGTCCCTAAAAGTTTATGCCCAAATACACGTTAGTGTTTAAAGTGCCACAGAATTCCTTGTTGTTTGTTCCTCCAGGTTCCTGAGTTTGAGGTGGGTTTAGCATTTTCTAGAAGCCAGTTCGGATTTTTTTTTTGAACCAGCATTTTACATGAATACGGGTTTTCAAGCTATATGCCACTATAGCTAGCTGAGCCAGCCCCTCCTTCAGAGCTATTTAAAAGGCAAACCTGAAATCTAATGTTTTGTTTGCATCGTAGGAAACGCTCAGATGGCAAATCTCCAGCAGGCACTATGAACATCCCAGGGAAAACCAAAAGAGAAGCAGAGATTGATAGCACAGATTATGCCACTTTTGGAAAGAAAACCAAGATAGAGGATGTTTCAGAAGATATTAAGTAAGAATTAGTTTATTTGCTATAGGTACAGTGTTTGCTATGAATATCATCTGAATTATATCACTAATTGAAGCTCTAGAATTAGGATTATTTAAAGAAATATGTTTTTAGTTAAATTGATGGGAAAGCTTTGGAAAGTTATTAAAGAGGTAAGTAGTCATACTAAGGATGGTAAGGACTAGTTGACTATCCTATAAGCAAATGCTTGATTCCTCTCCCTTCCCATTTGCTGCCTTTGAAGAGAGGGTACTTCAAAGCAGCAGCACTGAACGGAGCCCCAGGGGCTCTTGTGCATTTCAAAGAAGGAATGCAGAAGTGCCTATTGACTAGCTGAGTAGTTGATGGAAATTCCATTGACTACTCGACTAGTAAATCACTCATTAGTTAACATCCTTAGAAACTACAGACCAGTCAGTTTAACTTCTGTGCCCTGGTTGTCGATGAAAATTCCATCGACTACTTGACTAGTAAATTATTCGTTAGTTAACATCCTTAAGGGGCACCTTAGAGACTAAAAGTTTCAGAGGGGTAGCCAAATTAGTCTGCAACAGGAAAAACTTTAAAAACTACTAATAGTCTGGTAGCACTTTACAGACTAACAAAACACGTATATGGTATCTTACAAAAATATAAATAGTAACATTAGTTTTTGTGGGCAAGAAATTACGGTTGTCAAGTGATTAAAAAATGTAATTGTGCAATTAATCTCGCTGTTCAAAAATGTTTTAGAAATCAGTATTCTATTGCTTATGTTGTCAAATTTCTTATAACACAATGAAGTGTATGGTGCTCACTTTATACTTTTTTATATTACAAATATTTATACTTTAAAAAAGAAATAACGGAAATTGAAAAATACTAGTATAGTAGTGCAATCTGTTTGTCATGAAGGTTTGATTTGCAAATGAAGAATTATGTAGGAAAATAACTGCGTTCAGAAATTAAGCAGAATTAAATGGACTTGTAAGCTCTGAACTTTATATTTTTTTGAGTGTTAAGTACGTTTGTAAGTTTCATCTTCACAATAGATCTATTGCACAGCAATATTTATGTGAGGTAAGTTGAAAAATACTATTTCTTTTATCATTTTTACATGTCAATTAGATGTACTATACTATATACTTTGTATTCTATGTTGTCATTAAAACTGTAGAAAAACTAATACATTTCAATTGGTGTTGTTTATTAGTGTGATTAAAACAGCAATTATTCATGATTTTTTTTTTGAATTAATTGCATGAGTTAACTGCTATTAACCAACAACCATAATTGAAGCTTCTCTGAGGGAATAGTAACACTGGACATCTTATAATCAATAGATCTACAGGTAATGACTACAACAAACACAAATAGCTAATGAGGTCTAAATGGTGGTTAATAAGTGTTGTAATTGGAAATTGATCAACAGATTATTGTAGGGATGTTAAATTGGGGTTAATCAGCTAATCAAATAGTCTATGGAATTTCCATTGACTACCCCTGCTACAGCTCTGCAGTTTAAATGTAGTAGGAGCCTGGCTGCTTAGTCCTGGTTCAAGCCACCCTGGGAGCTAACCCCTCTGTGGCTCTGCCTTTTAAATGTAGTAAAAGCATGGTGAGCTCTTACTGCATTTAAAAGGCAGAGCTGCATCAGGGTTAGCTCCCAGGGCCAACGCGAGCTAGTACTAAGCAGTACTGGTTCATACCAGCTCTGGCTGGGACCACTGAGCCCTTCCCCCTGCACTGTGAAGATGGTGCTGAAGGGAACCAGCTTTTAAGCTGGCTCCCCCAGCACTGGTTCCTGTCCCCCCCCCCCCCCCCCCCCCCCCCCCCCCCACCCAAGTAGTCAACTCAACTACCTGATAAGGTAGTTATCAGGGTAGTTGTCTGTCTGACTACTTCCTTACAAGCCCAGTTTATTGATAGAAGCCCCCTTAAAAGTGATGAACTTGTGGCTTGTGTTTTATAGAAAGGTATTGGAAAATGAGAGCGGCACAAGGCGGCAACTGCCACATCAGCTTATTGAAACAAACCGTTGTCTGTGAATGATGGAAAATGGTATTCTGAAGAGCATTGAGACTACATGGAGTGGTGGTGGGCAACCTGCAGCTCATCAAGGTAATTTAATTGCAGGCTGTGAGACATTTTGTTGATGTTGACAGTCCACATTGACTGGTCTCTGCAGCTCCCTATGGCTATAATTCACCATTCCCAGCCAATGGGACAGATGGGGCAGACAGGGACATGCTGGCTGCCACTTCCTGCAGCTCCCATTGGTTGGGAACCTCAAACTGTGGTCAATGGGAGCAGTGGTCAACATAAGCAATATGTCTTGCGGCCCACAATCAGATTATCCTGATGTGCCGCAGATTTACCACCACTGATAGACAAGATAATGGATGGTCGTAGTCATGAATAGTGCGGACGACCTGTGATCTTGTCATGGATCTAGAAGTGGATAGAGGTCTTTTAAGACTGAATTTCCTTTGTGCTTGCTAGGGATAAAATTAGAGTATTCTGAGCAGGCTAGAATTTGTATCCGAGCAAATTTGGGAGGTCAGAGCCAATATTAATGATCGTGGATCTTTGTGCTTCCCGCCTCCATTTTTAAGTATAATGGATTCTTGATAATCAAATAACAATGCCTATTGCTGACCTGAGAGACTTTGAGAATGGATTTTGGGGGGGGAGTACTTGGGATGTAAGCGAGTAGACAAGTCAACTACTTGCATTTCCCTCTTCCTTCTCCCTGCTGCCTCTGTATCAGAAGGAGCAAGGCAGGGAAAGCAGGATCCAAGGTTGGGGGGAGCCAGCATAAAAGCTATCCCCCTCCCTCCCCAGCACTGTCTCCATGATGACGCTTCTTCTCCCTCGCCGCTGCCCTGGGCTGCAGCACGGGTGGAGGGGGCATGAAGCAATCTCTGCATGAAGCAGCTCCTGTCCATGGTAAGGATGTTAACTAGCGGTTAATTTACTAGTTGAAGGAATTTCCATCAACTACTTAACTAGTCGATAGGAACTTGCACATTTCTCCTTTGAAATGTACAAGAGTCCCCTCTGGCAACAGAGCTGACCTGGCAACAGTCCCTGTCCGCAAGGCGTCCTGGCTCCCTGCTGGGGCCCCCTGCAGACGGGCTGCTGGACCCAGGTCACTCCAGGTCTGGAACCTACCCCACTGTGGCTCTGCATTTTAAATGTAGTAAAAGCAAGGCAGGAAGGGTGCCCGGCTCTTAGTACATATAAACTGCAAAGCCACAGCGGGGAGTCACTTCCTGACCCAATGCGAGCTGGCACTGAGCATCTTCTCTAATCGACTAATCATGAAGTCAATAAAAATTTTATTGACTACACAATTAGTCAGATACCTGCTTCTTAACATCCCTAGGAGTACATGCTAATTTTTTTAACTCGAGGATTCATTCTGGTCTTTGCAGCCTGTTGGTTTAGGAAAGTGGTGTGCAGCCCGTGTATTGCGACCCCCAAGGAGGTTGTGGCTGTCTTTCTGGGGAGTCACAACGCTTTGATCCGGCAAGCCAGCGGCTGGGCCTGGCTGCGTGCGGCGTTTTGGTCCGGCCATCCGGGCCCAGCCATTGGCGGCCGTGCGGCGCTTTGATCCAGCTGGCTGGGGGCTGGACCCGGCTGTTGGTGGCTGCGTGGTGCTTTGATCTGGCTATGGGCTGGGCCCAGCCATTGGCAGTGGGGGTTGCGAATTAAAAAAGGTTATGCACCACTGGTTTAGGGGAACAACTAAATAGACCTTTGGTGCAGTGATCTATTTATAGCTGCAAACATTTTAATTTTTTTTCCAGTGGAGTAGGTCAATTAAGGGTTTTGCATGCATTTTGATTAATTTTAAAACTTTTATTCTTTGCAAGAATTAATGTAGCAGTATCAAAAATACTTAATGATTCTCACATTTTAAAGAAGAGAAACTAAAGCAGAATGCCTATGATTTGATCAAGGGCAGAAAGTCCATGTTGGAGCTTTTACTACATTTTGTGTTCTCAGTCTGGTGCCTTTTCTCTTAGCCTACATTGCCTGTCACATTGTTGAGGTGTTCCCTTTTTGCCACCGTAAGTGGGACAGGCTGCTCAGCAAAGAAGCTAGCCAGATTCAGTTCAGGCTGTTGCCTGAAATGCAGTTTAATTTCTGAGGTATAGTCACTTTCAGAAATCAAGAGAGGAATCTTGTTTTCAGATCCCTCCTTGCAATACACACTATGCTTATACTTTGCTTTAATCCGTATTGAAGACTATTTAAGAGGCTTTCAGCATATGCTCACTGCTGTGTTGACAGAATAAGGACTTTTTTTTATTTATATAATTCCTTTTATAAATAGTGTTGCAAATCCAAAATTGGTAAGTAAAGTATATACGTTAATAATATTGATACCTTATAGTAGTTTTGGTAGCAGTTCCCTCTGTCATAATGTCATTTTTTTTATCATTTAATTTATTGATGTAGAAATGAGATGTAGAGGTATGCCTTCAGTATATTTAATAGTACTAATTAATATTTTTTTATTTAGTCTAGCAGACCTGATGCCAAAAGTAAAAGTGCAAGCTGTTGAGACTGTTGAAGGTTGTACACATGAGGTGAGCACCATGACAGCATTTATTTTATGTGTACAGATATTTTATATGAATTTCTTGTCTCTCACCTTTGAGTTACAACTTTTTAGAGATGTTTCTTAATCTTTGTACTGTAATGATCAGGGCTCGCTGAACCATCGTGATTCCCGCTCGCCAGCCACGCTGTCCGGCGATCTGCGCATGCACAGATTGCCCAAACCTTGCTCTTCCGGGTTGCCACGGGCGAGTAGATTGCATTATTTGTCGAGCCCTGGTAATGATTGTTTTTTGTTTGGGTATTTCTGTACTCTACATTTCAACATGGCCTTTCGTCTGCAATCTTCCATCATTATATGTGAATACTTACTGAATGCTCATAATGATTTTGTTCTTTGTAACAGTGAAAATGCCCTTCTTAAGTGCTCAAATTCTAAATTAGATTGTACAGGAGACCCTTGCAATTCACAGAATTGCTATTTGTGGTTCTGCATATTTGTGGGTGTTTCCTGTCTGGGCCTAGGGGGCATGGTGGGGGCCAGGAGCTATGGGGAATTTGCTGGCTCCCAACCCTCACGGTGAGTTAGAGCTGTGGTTAGTTTGCTAGTTGCGGGTAACTCACTGCAGCTCCTGGTAACTTCAGTGAGTTTCTCATGGCTTTCAGGAGCCGCAGTGAGTTCCCTACAGCTCCTAGCCCTTGCAGTGAATTTGGGAGCCACAAGGATGTCACTGGGGGGGTGGGAGCCATGGCCCCAATATTCATGGGTTTCGCCATTTGCAGTGGGTGCCTGGAATGCATCCACTGCGAATGGTGATCCATTTCAGTGATACGGTGCTTACTCAACCCACTTCTGTTCTTAAACTTGTAAGAAACCAGCTGACCATAGAAACTATAGATGTAATAGTGTATCTGGCTAAACGATTAACCAATAAGCAAATGCTTATTGGTTAATGCTACCAGCTACATGCACCCACTTTCCTTCCCACGGCTCTGCATTTATAGTATTTTGGGGGCCAGCACTCAGTCAGGCTGGCTCAGTCGTGGCTCACACCAGACCCAGTAGCTACCCCCAGTGTAGCTCTGCATTTAAAGGACTTTGAGAGCTGGTGGGCAGGTATGCTGTTACGGTTCTGGCTAGTGCTGGCTGCTGTTGCTCTAGCTCTGCATTTAAAGGATTTTGAAAGAGCCAGCAGGCTGGCATGCTGTCTTAGTCCTAGCTCACGCTGAGTACTAGCAACAACCCCTGCTATGGCTCTGCATTGAAAATAGATCCCAAAATCATTCAAGTTTCCAACAGTGCATGATGATACTAGGGATGTAAGAGGTTAAACTCTTCTGCCCTGTCAGCACGCTTTAGCTCCTGGCTGCTGGCCAGGCTCCGGGAAGCCGACTGCATACTGCACAGCCTGCAGCAGCAGCCAGCTCTCTGCAAGCGGGACCAGCAGCTGAAAGCCAGTGCACAGTAAGAGTTTGGGAAGCCAGCCTACAGTGCATATAACCGCTAGGATTTTTAACTATTACTTTTTAAAAATCTTTTTAGCTTTTCTAGATGATACTATAGAATAGTACAGGAGATAGAAAGAACTTGTCAACTCAGCATAGACCTACATAAGACTTTTGTAGAAAATAGTATTGTGTTACATGCATGATAGGCAGAAGGTGCGAAAAACTAGTCTGTTTTCACTTATCAGAGGGGTAGCCATGTTAGTCTGGATCTGCAAAAGTGACAAGGAATCCTGTGGCACATTATAGACTAACAGAAGCTTTGGAGCATAAGCTTTCGTGGGCAAAGACCCACTTTGCATCTGATGAAGTGGGTCTTTGCCCACGAAAGCTTATGCTCCAATACATCTGTTAGTCTATAATGTGCCACAGGACTCCTTGTCTGTTTTCGCTGCTCATCTTGTGTCATTAATGTAACTCTATCAGCAGGAGCAAAGGGGGGTGGGAGGTGGGAGCCAGCTCCTCACAAGCACCGGATCCTATGGAGCCACCTCCTCCCAATCCGGCTATCCACACATACTGGCTCCCACGGAACTGCCTTCTCTCCCTTTAGGGATGTAAGCAACTAATCGACTAGTTGACTATCCGATAAGCAACTAATCGACTAGTTGATTATCCCTCCTCTAGGGATGTAAGCAACTAGTTGACTATCAGAGGCAGCCAGTGGGGGGAAGAGGGGTCCTGAGGGGAGCCGGCTTAAAAGCAGTTTCCCTCCATCTTCGTGAGAGGAGGCAGGGGCGTTCCAATTTTGAAATGTACAAGATCCCCAGCAGGAGCTTTTGTGCATTTCAGTGTTTGAAATGCACAAGAACTCCTGATGGGGCTTTTGTGCATGTCAAAGGTGGAACTCCATGCTAGTCCTTATTGACTAGTTGATGGAAAGCCCATGGACTAGTCGATTAGTTCATTAATCAAAATGTAACATCCCTATCCTGCCTCCCCTTCCCCCCCACGCATGCTGCTGTGTCTATATCAGAGGGCAGTGTGAGGATGGAGCTGGTGGGATGCCAGCGCAGCCTCTGTCAGCAGTTTGGAGTGGTCAGGTCTTCCTCTGGGGCAGTACTACTTCTGCAAGCACGTGAGATGATAAATTGCATTTTGATGGACAGGTCTGTGACTCTGGGAAATGTGGATGACGTATTGGCTGGTTTTGCTGTAGAGGGCTTTCCTAGCTGTGTTGGCAATAGATGGGGAGTACATCCCCATCCATTATTGCTTCTTCTCACCTTTCCTCTGAGTACATCAACCATATGGAGTACTTCTCCACGGTGCTTCTGGTGCTTGTGGATCACCGTGGACATTTCAAAGACATAATTGTGGGATGGTCTGGAAAGGTTTATGTTGCACGCATCTCCAGGAACAGTGGCTTGTACAGAAGGCTGAATGCTGGGATTTTACAATGGGAGATGTGTAAATGCCTATAGCAATCCTAGGTGAGGTAGCCTATTCCTTGCAGCTCTGGCTCATGAAGCCTTACATAGGGCACTTGAATGGCAGAAAGGAGTGGTTCAGCAACCAGTTAAGCCTCTGCTGAATCGTTATTGAACATGCCTTTGGCAGATTGAAAGGGAGATGGCGGTGTCTCTGGGGCAGGCTGGACTTTTTAAAGGATCATATCCCCAAAGTGATGGTGGTGTCCGCATGCTGTTGCTTATGTGATTTCTGTGAGAGTAAGGATGAAGTTTTTGCTTGCGGGTGGAGCACAAAGGCACAGTGCTTTGACACACGCTTTGAGCAGCCAGACACTCATGTTGTCAGAGGAGTGCATAGGGTGGCCATCAATATCAGGCAGGCTCTGAGGAACCACTTTGATAATGAGGAGGGCTGACATTTCTGAGAGTTGGATTTGCTTCCCTGCTTTTGAGCTAGGCATTCCCATAGAACCAAAGGGTTATGGCCAGATGGCTTGGTGTGGGTTTAACAGAAAATAAAAACTCCTGGAAACATGTGTCTTTGTCTTTGAAAACTTCACACTGTGCTAAAGTCCAGCTGTCATTGCTGTTTTCACAGGGAGTTGAGGATACACGTCCTCGCAATCATTGTTACTTGAGAACACTTGCTCACTGCTGGGCACACAGGTTGTCACCAGATTCGCCCTCATCTCCTGGCCCTCTTCAATCTCTTCACCAACTTGTGTCTGTGTCCTGGAGATTTCTGGCTGTTTTCTCTGAGAACTATCCAAAGTATCCTGGGCTTTGGTTGTGGAGTTGCTACCTAGGTTTCTTTCCAGTTCTCTATAAAATCAGCATGTTTTGAGCGTAGCATCAGACCTGCTATTTGCTGCCTTTGCTTTCTGGTAGGCCTGCCGGAGTTCATTGATCTTGGCTCCACATTGCAGGGTGACTCGCTCATGCCCTTTCTCACACAGAGCTAAAGAACTGTGACTGTAAATGTCCTGGCTTCTACTGGTCACTCACAGCTGTGATTGCACCAGTTATCTCCCTCCCCCCCCTTTCTCCCTCCTCCTCCACTACCACCGATTAGATCCAAAAGCCCTGCATTACAGGAGAATGTTTGGATTGAGTAGATGCCAAGGAGCTGCTTTTTTTGTAAAGCTTTCTAACACATTTTCCCACTGTTTGTATTTCATATATGTATGTCAGGTTGCACTTCCTGCAAATGAAGACTTTGTAGCCCTCAAGCCGAGAAGTGGAAAAGCTGCAAAGGTACGTGATGCGTTTAAAAGAAAAAAAATTGTAGCCTGTAGCCCATAAGTAGGTATATGGGGAGAAATGGGCCCTACCAGTAGCAGGGAAGTAAATGGAAGTCTTTTAAAAACTGGTCTGTGTCCTGAATGAGTAGATGAATGTTTGTCTTTCATGTAATTTTGGTTGGAGCTAGGTAGAGAGATTGCTCTGGTTTGGTTTCTACCACTCATTTCAGTCGCTCCAGTGGTATAAATGGGTTTGTTCTGATTTTTTGTAACAGACCCCATACAAAAACTGACCATATAAAGGCCTAGATTTGCTGTTTTATATGAATTAAGGATCTGCTTGAGACACTTAAACTTAAGTATAAAAATAAGTTAATCTAAATTAAAAAAAACCCTCTTATGCTATTTTCAAGTGGAATGAGATGGTAACTAGTTATTTGCTCACTAGGTCAATCTGGAAAACAACATTAAGATATGAAGGATGTTTTTTTTTTTTCTTTTTAGGAATATCCATTCATTCTTGATGCTTTTCAAAGAGAAGCCATTCTTTGTGTGGATAATAATCAGTCTGTTTTAGTGTCGGCTCATACATCAGCTGGCAAAACTGTGTGTGCAGAGTAAGTAATTTTATGATAATTTTAGTAAGAGTAGTGTGGTGGTCGTCCTGTTAATTTGGCTGAACTATATGTTAGACTCAAAGGGAAAAGTAAACAGTCTCCTGTTAATGTTATTTATGTAGGATGAAAGGAAAATACTTGTTGCAACACAGATATTTAAATAGGAACAGCCATACTGGATTAAAACAATGATCCATGTAACCCAGTATCCATCTTGTCTTCTCACCGTTATCAGTGCCAAGTGCTTCAGAGGGACCAGCCCTAGCAATTGCCACGTGATCTATCCCATATGTCAACTTGCAAGTTTCTGGCGATCAAAGTCTAGAGATGCCCCATACCATCTTGTCTAGTAGCCATAGACAAACCTTTCCTCTATTTCCTGGTTCCTTTTTAAACCCTGTTACAATTTTGGCCTTCCCAGCATTCCTGGCATCTCATTCCTCAGGTTGACTGACTTTAGAAAATCACCGTGCTTTGTTTTCTGTCCCTAGGCTATAATTTATAGTAAAATCATTGTGGTGTTTTTTTTTTTTGAGAGAGAGAGAGGTGTTGGTTTGACTTTATTATAGGCCAATGTCTATTATTATTTAACCATAGAAAGTGTATGTGGACATAGGAAGCCATTCTATAAATTTCCCCCCTATATTTTTGTTTTGGAATAAGAGCTTCTACCCTTAGCTAGAGAGAGCACCTCTTGAGATAAAACAGTAGCTCAGCCTTTGTTCACATTTAATACTTTCTCTCACGTTTTTTTCTTTATGAAATGTCTATAATGTCAGGTCACTACTATTTAACTTATTTAAGTAATCTAATTTGCCAGTTGTAACTTACGATGTTTCTGGGCAATTATAGATAAATTCTACCAGCTTGGAATAAATTGAAGCTGGTAACCAATAAATGAAAGGCTTTCTATTTTGTTACCAATTTTCTTTTTTTGATTTTACTTCTCATGGAAGGTTATGGAAGGGTAGAAAGATGTAAATGTCTCTCATGTACTTTAATGGTATATTGTAGGTATGCAATTGCCTTGGCTTTGCGGGAGAAACAGCGTGTGATATTTACCAGTCCCATTAAAGCTCTGAGTAACCAGAAGTATCGTGAGATGTATGAAGAATTTCAGGATGTTGGTTTGATGACTGGAGATGTCACCATTAATCCTACAGCTTCTTGTCTTGTGATGACAACAGAGGTATGTTTTAAGTAGTTAATATTTAGTCCTTTTACTTTTCCTTGTCCCTATTGGAGTATTTTTGGTCCATGCTATTGAGGGCTGAAATAGAAATAGTTTTATGTTAAAAAAAAAAAATAACACAGCATTTTATGTTCCCTTTGTCATCACAGCCTCCCCTGCCTTCAATTTCTTCTCTAATTATTGAGTGGGGAATTAACTACAGATTGGATCTCCCTCATCTGGTACCCTTGGGACCTGAGGGACCCTGGGGACCAGGGAGTTTGTTGGTTAATTCTCCTCTGCTGGCTATCCTGCTGCTGGCTCACTAATGCTGTCCAGCTACAGTGCCCCACTGCCACTCACCTGCTGCTGGTGATTCCCCTGCCAGGCTGCCCTGACACAGCCAGCTCTGCAGGCACTGCCTGCCCCTTTGCCAACAGGGATTCTCCTGCCAGGGCTGCCTGGCCACACAAACCCCTGTCACCCAGAGCTTCCCAAGAGTCTCCCTCCAGGGCTGCCAGTCTGGGCCTGCTGCAGCTGGGGACTTCCTGGCTAGGGCTGGGAATTCCTGGCCCAGCCAGGACTCATAGACTCATAGACTCCAAGGTCAGAAGGGACCATTATGATCATCTAGTCTGCCCCCCTGCACAGTGCAGGCCACAAAATCTCACCCACCCCTCCTAGAATAATGCCCTCACCTATATCTCAGATATTGAAGCCTTCAAATACTTTGAAGACCCCAAGATGCAGAGATCCTCTAGCTGTGATCTGTACCCCATGCTACAGAGGAAGGCGAAAACCCTCCAGGGCCTCTGCCAATCTACCCTTGAGGAAAATTCCTTCCCGACCCCAAATATGGCGAACAGCTAAACCCTGAGCATGTGGGCAAGACTCATCAGCCAGACACCCAGAAAGTTCTCTATAGTAACTCCTATCATCCCTCCAATGACCTATTTCCCACTGATAATGAATGGTCAATTAGATACCAAGATCCTGTTATCTCATCAAACCATCCCCTTCATAAACCCATCTAGTTTAATCTTGAAACCAGATAGATCTTTTGCCCCCACTACTTCCCTTGGAAGGCCGTTCCAGAACTTCACTCCTCTAATGGTTAGAAACCTTCGTCTAATCTCAAGTCTAAACTTCCTACTAGCCAGCTTATATCCATTTGTTCTTGTGTCCACATTGGTATTAAACTTAAATAATTCCTCTCCCTCCCTGGTATTTATCCCTCTAATATATTTAAAAAGTGCAATCATATCCCCCTTCAGCCTTCTTTTGGTAAAAGAAAAAAAGCCGAGCTCCTTGAGTCTCCTTTCATAAAACAGGTTTTCCAGTCCTCGGATCATCCTAGTGGCCCTTCTTTGTACCTGTTCCAGTTTGAATTCATCCTTCTTAAACATGGGAGACCAGAACTGCACACAGTATTCCAAATGGGGTCTCACCAATGCCTTATATAATGGCACTAACACCTCCTTATCCTTACTGGAAATACCTCGCCTAATACATCCCAAGATTGTATTAGCCTTTTTCACGGCCATGTCACAATGGCAGCTCATAGTCATTCTATAATCAACCAGGACTCCGAGGTCCTTCTCCTCCTCTGTTACTTCCAACTGATGTGTCCCCAGCTTATAACTAAAATGCTTGTTATTAATCCCTAAATGCATAACCTTACACTTATCACTATTAAATTTCATCCTATTGCTATCACACCAATTTACAAGATCATCCAGATCTTCCTGTATGATATCCCGATCCTTTTCTGAATTGGCAATAGCTTCCAACTTTGTGTCATCTGCAAATTTTATTAGGACACTTCCACTTTTGGTGCCAAGATCAGCAATAAAAAGATTAAATAAAATTGGCCCCAAAACTGATCCCTGAGGAACTCCGCTAGTAACCTTCCTCCAACCTGACAGTTCACCTTTCAATATGACCCGCTGTAGTCTCCCCTTTAACCAGTTGCTTATCCACCTCTCAACTTTCATATTAATCCCTATCTTTTCCAATTTAACCAATAATTCCCCATGTGGTACTGTATCAAATGCCTTACTAAAGTCGAGGTAGATTAGATCCACTGCATTTCCTTTATCTAAAAAAATCTGTTACTTTCTCAAAAAAGGAGATCAGGTTGGTTTGGCACGATCTACCTTTTGTAAAACCATGTTGTAATTTGTCCCAATTGCCATTAGCCTCAATATCTCTAACTACTTTCTCCTTCAAAATTTTTTCCAGGATCTTACATACTACAGATGTCAAACTAACAGGCCTATAGTTACCCGGGTCGCTTTTTTTCCCTTTCTTAAAAATCGGAACTATATTAGCAATTCTTCAGTCAAATGGTACAACCCCTGAGTTTAGAGATTTATTAAAAATGTTTGCTAATGGACTTGCAAGTTCATGTGCCAGTTCCTTTAATATTCTTGGATGAAGACCATCTGGGCCCCCGATTTACTCCCATTAAGCTGTTCAAGTTTGGCTTTCACCTCGGATATGGTAATATCTACCTCCTTATCCTCAGTCCCTTTTGTTAACTTACCATTATCCCTAAGCTCTTCATTAGCCTCATTAAAGACTGAAGCAAAGTATTTGTTCAAATATTGGGCCATTCCTAGATTATCCTTAACCTCCACTCCATCCTTAGTAATTAGTGGTCCTACTTCTTCTTTTATTGATTTTTTCCTATTTATATGGCTATAAAACCTTTTACTATTGGTTTTAATTCCCTTTGACTCTCCAGCCCACGTGTCTCCAAGCTGGCTCCCATTCCTAGTCTCTGGGCTCTTTGGTCCAGTAACATCTATGGCCTTTCCAGACCACAGGTCTTGCCGGACCTGAGTCCCATATTACATAAGAACATAAGAACGGCCATACTGGGTCAGACCAAAGGTCCTTCTAGCCCAATATCCTGTCTGCCGACAGTGGCCAGCATCAGGTGCCCCAGAGAGGGTGGACCGAAGACAACAATCAAGTGATTTGTCTTCTGCCATCTCTCTCCAGCCTCTGACAAACAGAGGTCAAGGACACCATTTTATCCCCTGGCTAATAGCCTTTTATGGACCTAACCTCCATGAAATTATCTAGCTTCTCTTTAACCTCTATTATAGTTCCCAGCCTCCTCTGGCAAGGAGTTCCACAGGTTGACTACACGCTGTGTGAAGAAGAACTTTCTTTTATTAGTTTTAAACCTGCTACCCACTAATTTCATTTGGTGTCCTCTAGTTCTTCTATTTAGGGAACTAATAAATAACTTTTCTTTATCGGCCCTCTCCACACCACTCATGATTTTATAGACCTCTATCATATCCCCCCTCAGTCTCCTCTTTTCTAAACTGAAAAGTCCCAGTCGCTTTAACCTCTCCTCATATGGGACCAGTTCCGAACCCCTCATCATTTTAGTTGCCCTTTTCTGAACCCTTTCCAAGGCCAAAATATCTTTTTTGAGGTGAACCTGTACTTTGAAACGATTTTTGCATTCACATTTTAAAGATGTCCCAGGAACTGCACAGCCTTAAGAAACTTCTGGAAAGCAGTGCCTAATAGAGCTGCATGTTTTTCCTTTCTAAAGTATGGATTTTTTTTTAGAACTAGATTGTAAAAGAGCGATGTGGCCTCAACTATCACAGTTTCTTCCTTTTCTCAGCTAGCTGCAGATTAATGGTAATGTTTCCGTATTTACTGTTAGTAAACGTTAGGTAGTGGGCCTAATTGCACGGTAAGTTTTTATTCTAGACGTATGATCCTTCAATCTTTTTCATGGCCAGTCAAGTCATTAAGAATTTACTTCAGTAGTATCTCTCATGCTTCACTGTGGTTCCAGAAGTGGATTCACATCCCTGTTGTTTCTTCTGTCTGGGGAAGTCTGGCTTGCTTCTTATTGTGTAAAGATTATACATTTCCAGCCTGCAGCAGCAGCTTTGTGTTTTTTCTGAAGCCCATCCCCCAGCTTAAAGCAAGGGGACACATTTTTTCAAGTAGGGGCTCACCACAAACAAAGGTTGAGAAACACTGGTCTAGACTATGTTGATGCATGGATCTTACCATGAAGCTCCTGTTTTCCTTAGTGGTGTCGTCTAATTGGGTCTTTCAGGAAGAACATCTGAACATCTCAGTTCACCTTGGTTTTTTATTCACAGGAGACAGCCTAATTTTGTCCTGACGTGCTC